ATAACTGAATTTGAGTATAAACAGCTGGAAATTGCAGACGAAAATTTCAGTGTATGAACTGCTGGAAATTGAGTGAAATTATATAGGCTGAATCTGACCATTAGTTTCTGCATTAACCATTGCAGTTTTTGGAGTTACACTTCGACTTCGATCATTGGAGTTTTAGGAGTTTCAGACACTCAAAAGTCATTTGGAAAAATCACAAAAAAAAAATTGCAAAACCGGACAATCCAAATTGGCTAGTTTTTGCTCGTTTTGTCCGACATTCGTGTGCGCAGGTTACGCCCGCACCTAAGTTCAAGGTCCGAAAACTATTTCTGTCCGTGATTTGCACCCCCCTACGCGCGCACGTGGAGAGAGCCTCTATGCTACACATGATCACACCATCCCAATGTATAGCCATATATAAAGTGGTTTTGGTTTCCATATTTTTCCTATATGGGACAAAGTTAACTATAGTTTTCCCATCAACATAGACCATTTCCAATAGTCCACTTTAAACTCCAATTTTTCATTCACACGAGCTTCATTTTTGGCAAATAAATACATGACTTCGATGTTCTCGCGGAGGAGAACACATATCAACTTTGATATTCCAAATTGGACTAACGGGTCCCATCGAAAATTGTGCCAAAAGTGAGCCGCTCACTTATTTTTTCCAACAATCCCCCACATGAATGAAAATTAGGAGAGACACAAAACGTGAAACATAAGACTTGGTGATAAAGTTCAACGGTTGAAGCCTACATAGGATAGGTAGGTGTTACCCTTTAAACCTTCCCTTGTGAAAGTATATTTACTTTACTGGCTGACCAGTAGACGCGATGTCTTTAAACTGTTCTGCCGTTTGTATAAACGAGGATATACTTCGCACAGAATTCTTCCTAACACCCTTCAGTTCTCATTATCATGTTCGTTTTGGCTATGAACATATTCATGGTTCTGTGAGAGTTTCTAAGAATTGAGCCCCAAACAATTCTCTTAGAAGCAGCCCCACCCACTTCTTTCTCACATAGGTGATTTCTTATTACAAGTAACCCACATTACTTGGCTCGATTTTCGACGCGTAAGAATCATTAAAAGCCTAATTCTTAACTTTCATCCTTACGGGCATTACTGTTATATCATAGGAATGGACAGCAGGTGATACCCCCACAGTGATTTTATCAAGTCTTTACAGTTAGGTTGTCCCTTTGAACCTAGATCTTGGAATCTCCAGTCAACTAGGTTGGGTTTCCTTTGTAATGACTTATTCTTTCAAGGGTATGAGTCTCATTGCTTTCGATTATTTCCCAACTAATTCTCTATTTAAACATTTGGTTAGCGGATCCGCAATATTATCCTTTGACCTAATATAGTCAATTGTGATAACTCTAGCTGAGAGTAGTTGTATAATGATATTGTGTCTACGACGTATATGCTAGACTTACCATTGTACATGTTACTTTGTGTCCTTCCTATTGCTGATTGATTGTCACAATATATGCAAATTGCAGGCACAAGTTTGGACCATCATGAAATATCTTCTAAAAAGTTGTGCAACCATTCGGCCTCTTCACCACATTTATCTAGGGTTATAAACTCAAATTTCATCGTAGATCTGGCTATAACCGTTTGCTTAGAGGATTTTCATAAGATGGCAGCACCTCCCAAAGTGAACACATATCCACTGGTGGATTTTGAGCCTTTTATATTAGATATCCAATTAGCATCACTGTATTCTTCAATGACTGCTGGATGTCTGGTGTAGTGTATTCCATAGTTACGAGTATATCTTAAGTACCTCAGTACTCTTACTATACCTGTCCAGTGATCATTTCCCGGATTACTCGTATATCTACTTAATTTACTGACTGTGTAGGCTATGTCTAATCTTGTACAACTCATTAAGTACATTAGATTTCCAATAACCCTCGAGTATTCTACCTGAAAGACACTTTCACCCTTATTTTTAGATAGATGTTGACTTGTATCTATCGGTGTTCTGGCTAAGCCAATATCATCCTTATTGAACTTTTCCAAAATTTCATCCACATAATGTGACTGGCTTAGAACAAGCCCATCTGATGTTCTTAAAATTTTGACTCCAAGTATAACATCAGCTAAACCCATGTCTTTCATAGCAAATTTCGAATTTAATATATTTTTAGTGGATTCAATCATCTTATTGTTACTACCAACAATAAGTATGTCATCAACGTAAAAACATAAAATGATATAGTCATCTTTAGTATCTTTGACGTAAACACATTTGTCACATTCATTAATTTTAAATCCACTCTCTATCATGACATTGTCAAGTTTTTCATACCATTGTCTAGGTGCTTGTTTCAAGCCATATAGTGACTTCACCAATTTACAGACTTTCTTTTTCTGTCTTGGTGATGAAAACTCCTCGAATTGTTTCATGTAAATTTTTTCTTCTAAATCTCCATTTAGAAAAGTAGTTTTAACATCCATTTAATATATTTCTAGATTTTGTAAGGCAACAATCGCAAGTATCACCCTAATAGATGTTATTCTCGTCACTGGAGAATACGTATCAAAGTAATCAAGGCCTTCCCTTTGTTTGTAACATTTTATTACTAATCTGGCATTGTACTTTTTGAGAGTTCCATCTGCTTTCATTTTCCTTTTAAAAATCTATTTGTAGCCTAGTGGTTTGCATCCAGGAGAAAGATCCACTAGTTTCCATGTATGATTTTGCAGTATGAAATCTATTTCACCTTTAATGACATCTTTCCATTGAGATCTTTCCGAGGAATTCACAACTTCTTGATAACTTTGAGGTTCGCTTTCTAACATATAGGTCAGAAAATTAGGACCATAAGACTTTTCTGTCCTTTCCCGTTTGCTGCGTCTAACCTTAGTCTCCTCTTCTAATTTTTCGTCCTGACTATTTTCAGTTATTGTCTCATATATTCGTTTAGAGGAGCTGGCTTCCTCTTTGGACCTGTATGGAAATACTTTTTCAAAGAATGAAGCATTCCTCAATTCCATTATCCTGTTTTTGTGTATGTCTAGAATTTTTGAATCATATACAAGAAATCGATAAGCACTGCTATTACGTGCATAGCCAATGAAGACACAGTCTATAGTTTTCGGGTCTATCCTTACCTTCTTTGGTGTTGGAATAGCCACTTTTGCAAGACACCTTCACATTCGCAAGTGTTTATAGGTAGACTTTCTTCTTTTTCATAACTCATAAGGGGCCTTTTTCGATTTCTTTCGAGGCACCTTATTTAAAAGGTAATTTGCTGATAACATAGTTTTCCCCCACATGTTCTGAGGTAACCCAGAACTTACTAGCATTGTATTCATCATTTCTTTTAAGGTACGATTTTTTCGTTCAGCTACACCGTTTTGTTGTGGTGAATAAGGTGCGGTGGTTTCATGTATGATTCTGTGTTGTGCAAAGAAATCGACAAACGGTGCTCCATACTCACCACCTCGATCACTCCGTAGTACCTTAATTTTCTTATTAAGTTGAGTTTCAATTTCATTCTTATAGAGAATAAATTTCTCTGTAGTTTCATCCTTACTTTTAAGTAGATACACATAGTAGTATTTTGAGTCATCGTCGATAAAAGTAATAAAATACTTGTTGCCACCTCTTGTTTGTACAAGTTTTAAGTTACAAACATCACTGTGAATTAAATTAAGTGGTTCTGTGTTCCGTTCAACTGACTTAAAGGATGACCTTGTCAATTTTGTCTCAACACAAGTTTCACGCTTATGTTCGGAATCATTATGGAACTTGGGTATGCAATTCGAGTTAATCAGTCTACGTAAAGTATCATAGTTAACATGTCCTAGTCTACCATACCACAAATTGAAAGACTCAAGCAAATAAGCAGAAGAATTTGCCTTATTCATTTTTGGTTTCACAACCATTACATTCAACTTAAACATACCGTCGGAAACATAACATTTTTCGACAAACATTCCACTTTTTGATAGAATGACTTTGTTTGACTCAAATACAATGCGAAAACCATGCTTTTTCAGAAGCGACCCGGACACTAAATTCTTACGAATTTTCGGCACATATAGCACACTGTTGAGAGCCAGCTCCTTTCTCGGGGTCATCTTTAGAACCACATTTCCTTGACCCTTGATTTCAGAGGTTGCTGAATTTTTCATGAACAGCTTCTCCCCGTTCTTAATTGCTTCGAATGTAGCAAACAGCTCTTTATTAGAGCACACATGCCTTGTAGCATCGGTGTCAATCCACCACTCCTTAGAGTTTGAACCCACCATGTCCACTTCAGAAATGACGACTGCGAGATTCATTTCTGAGATATCTTGTGCCATGTAGTCAATCACATTTGCTTCTTTCGTCTTCTTCTTTGGCATTCTGCACTCCGAAGACTTGTGCCTACTTTGTCACAATTGAAACATTTCCCTTGAAATTTCTTCTTAGAAATTTCACCTTTCGGTCCGTGCTTGGTCTTTTTTCCACCGAATGACACAAACTTATTTTTGTAAGTCTTACTGCTTTGACCATGCTCCACAACAGTGGCTTTAGCCACACCAAGATTGAACCACTTCTTTTCTGAACTTTTGTTGTTTTCTTCAATTCGAAATCTAACAATAAATTCTTCAACGTTCATTTCCTTTCGTTTGTGTTTTAAATAATTTTTGAAATCTTTGCATGCGGGAGGCAATTTTTTAATAATTGCTGCCACTTGAAAGGTTTCATTCAACACAATCCCTTCGGCATGAATTTCATGAAGAATCACTTGGAGTTCTTGCACTTGACTGATAACAGTTTTGGAGTCCACCATCTTATAGTCTAGGAATCTGTCGACTATAAACTTTTTAGCCCCGGCATCCTTAGTTTTGTATTTTTTATCCAAAGACTCCTACAACTCCTTAACAGTTTTTATCATGCTATACACATTGTATAGTGTGTATGCTAAACTATTCATAATGTAGTTTCGGCATAAAAAGTCTGAATGCTTCCAAGCATCAAGTGCACTGACTGCTTGAATATCTCCTTATCCTTCATTGAGTACAGTAACAGTCTCAATCAAGAATCTCGCAAGATTCAAGGTGGTCAGGTAAAACAGCATTTTCTGCTTCCACCTCTTGAAATTCAAGCCATTGAATTTCTCCGATTTCTCTCCATGATTAACTGGAATAGTAACTGTTTAGCCAGTTGTTGGAGCCATAGTTTGACTCACAACACGACTAGGCAAGTTAGCCACAGCAGAGCTTGGCCCTTAAGCCATAGTAGAGCCCACAACTTGATTTCCAGCAGGAACAGTTTGGGTCACATCCATGTTGGTTGGTTCGGCAGCCATTTCTGAAAATGAAACAATTATTAGTTTCTAATAAACAAATAAACCTGTTTACTACCAATATGTATTAAGAATTTGTCTTAAATTTGTTGTTATATTTAATTGGTAGTGTATGGAGTGGAATCGGGCTTTCATATATCGTATTTGTGTTTTAGACACCGGATTCACACTTACCGTATTTGGCAATTTCTTACCGTATTTGCAACTCACCATATTTGGCAGTGCATTAAACACAAAATTTCCACAACTATTTGTTTTCATACAATGATTTTAGATAACATAGAATTTGGTGTTTGTTTTCATACAATTTGAACAAACACAATTTCGAAATAAATTCAGATAAATTTTTCTTAATTTTTTTTTTCACAAATTATTTAGATCCAGACTATTATCTAAATCACTGCTTGAATAAGAATGACAAATTATATTATTTACATAAACATAAGAGCAGTATAAATTTCAGAAAACTGAATAAAATCTGAAAGCATGTAAATCTGCAAATAATTAAAGCACAGATACTCAAACTGGAAGCATATACATTTGGAAATAAACTTTTAATCCCGAGGCTTATGTAAACACAATTTTCTTAAGACGAATTCGGTGGTGCTAGAGGTTTAATTCGAGCGCCTGTTTTCCAGGATACAACGGTAACTATCAGAATTCGAGCACCGCGGTTCTACTCCGACGAACTGGGCAATGTTCGAACAATATCACCTTATTGGAATGAGACGAAACAAAAAAAAACAGAACTGAATCTGAGTATAAACAGCTGGAAATTGCAGACGAAAATTTCAATGTATGAACTACTAGAAATTGAGTGAAATTATATAGGCTAAATCTAATCATTAGTTTCTACATTAACCATTGCAATTTTTGGAGTTGCACTTCGATTTCGACCATTGGAGTTTTAGGAGTTTCAGACACTCAAAAGTCATTTGGAAAAATCACAAAAAAAGAATTGCAAAATCGGACAATCCAAACTGGCCAGTTTTTGCTCGTTCGATCCGACATTTGTGTGCGCAGATTACGCCCGCACCAAAGTTCAAGGTCCGAAGACTATTTCTATCCGTGATTTGCACCCCCTACGCGCGCACGTGGAGAGAGCCTCTATGCTACACATGATCACACCACCCCAATGTATAGCCATATATAAAGTGGTTTTGGTTTCCATATTTTTCCTATGTGGGACAAAGTTAACTATAGTTTTCCCACCAACATAAACCATTTCTAATAGTCCACTTTAAACTCCAATTTCTCATTCACACGAGCTTCATTTTTGGCAAATAAGTACATGACTTCGATGTTCTCGTGGAGGAGAACACATATCAACTTTGATATTCCAAATTGGACCAACGGGTCCCATCGAAAATTGTGCCAAAAGTGAGCCGCTCACTCATTTTTTTCCAACAATATGCAGGTTCAGGAGAAAAATATGTAGGTGCAGGAGATATATTTATGAGAGAAGGTAAAGTGTAAGCACCAATCTCCGTCCAGTAGATGAATGTTCGGTGAGTTTATTACGTTAAGTTAGTTGAGCAAGTGTATTGCATTTTAGATGAATCCCTGAGCTTCATGAACATAATTTCATATTTGACTCCTAGCTTCTAAGTCTTATACATCAATTAAGCAGGCTAACTTATATTTTCCTCTTCCCTTGCCTTATTACACTGATTACTGCGGATGAAGCAAAGGACATCGGTTGTCCATAACAAATATTCATCATCTAACGAGCAAGCATCAAATACGATGGTACACTGCAGGCTTCAAAATATAATTATTACTAGCTACATGCTTGAGAGAGTAACAGACAAACAATGAGCTAACATGCGAAGCAACAGCAACGGTGTATACTTGAACCTTTTGTTTCAATAATTCATTTTTTATTACCATCTATTCATAAAGTCATGCAACATTAACAAGATTTGTCTTTCGAAAGACATTTGTTACCTCAATTTTCTTATTTTATACTTCTAAATGTCCAGAGCATCCATTCCCACATATAAGAATATAAAGTTTCTGCCCCCCGGGGCACAGCTCAATTGGTGGATCAATCAACATTTGTCTTATTTCCAGCGGCAGGGTGGAGGTTCGAATCCTGGTGGGAACCTGCAGCCAGATTTATTTGGTATGGAGCAATCACTTTGGAGAAGGATCTCTTGTCCGCAGAAGTGTACAGACAGTGAGGGGAACCTGTGATCCAGTTGAGGCGTAACTCGCGATTTACCCCCTCCAAGGTTCTAGGGGCAAGGGTCTTGGGGGTCCAGGATTTAGTTTAGTGGAAGCTGGGATTCCTGGATATAAAAAAAAAAGGAATATAAAATGTCTGCGATGAAGGACATTGTTGAAAAACATGCCTGCAATTATTAAAATTAGAAAGGAGTTCACTATATATCTGTTGATAAATATTTTAAATCTTTTACTTTTTCAATTGCTTGTACAATTTTGGAATTAGTAGCATGATGGGTCTAATTTTACAACCAATGAAGAACAAAGAAACAAAATGATACTTACGCCCATTTGCTTTTGTTTTTGCTTTTTATAGAAGAGTTTTTGAAGGAATCTATTTTTACTTTTGTTTAGAAACTAACTTGTAAAATAACTTCCTATTCTGAAAGTGCTTTTAAAGGAAGTCTAGACTCTTCTAACTAGTAGAAGCACTGTCCTAAAATTAATCAAACGGATCCAGAAGCAACTTTTGAATTTCAAAAATTCCTTTTGACTTTTCAAAAGTCATGCCACATGGCCCGTAGTCATACGTGCCCGATAGTGAATCTTGAACTCTCGGTTACATTATGCCAAGCATAATGCGAAATAAAATTCCCATAAAAGAAGACCATCAAAATTCCACTGAGGTCAAACAGCTGCAACAATCTGCTTTTAATTATCAGATATCTCCTCGTTAGAAGCAAAGTCGGTCCTGTGTCTAATGGGCCCTGAGGCGAACTATGAAAAGTAGGCCCCCAGCGACAAAATTCAAAGGTGTATTATGCGACTCATTGCTAACTTAAAAAACTAACATTAAAACAACAACGAAATATATTATAAAAACGATTTGTATTATACACCATCAAACCAAAAATTTCAAACAATTAGTTAAATACTATTCATCTTGCTGTTTTAGAGGCAAAAATATCAATCAAATCTGAATAACTTAGCTGCTCAACCATTTCTTTTTCTATTGATAGCATAGCCAACCCATTTAATCTTTCTTGCGACATAGTTGATCGAAAATAGATCTTGATCAACTTTAATTTCGAGAAACTTCTTTCTGCAAATGCAACTGTAACCGGTATGGTTAACAACATTTGGTAAGCAATATAAGCATTTGAAAAACAAACATCCAATGTCTTCAAGTATTGTAGCACTTCAATTGCTCTTGTTGCTTCACTTGGTATATAACACCTCAAGACTTGTAACTCCAAACATAAATCATCCCCACTGATATCCGAACGCCCATTATGTTGAAGATATTTCTCAAGATTCAAACAAGAGTTCAATAAACTTGAAAAAGTTGCACCCCTTAACCTCTTCAAACTAAACAAAAATCCAAATGTATCATCATATTGTTTGAATTGTTCAAATCGGGTCCTCAGAGAAGATAGAGCTTGATCAATTATAAAAATAAAGTACTCAACTCTAAAAGATTCTTCTGCTGATTGCTTTATCTCATTACTACCGCTTTCATCAAATTGTTTTTTTCTTCGAATTATACATTTTTCTATAAATAGAGCTTCAATTCCCATTTCGCTTGCCTTTTTTGTCGCTTCATCTTTGACAATAGCAAATCCAATTTCTCTGTATTCTTCAAGAAATGAAACAAGTCCTTGCAAGATGTCAATAACATGATCAATATCTATGGATTCGGTTTGAAGAAATTTACTCACAATATTAACAGCATGCAACAATCTGTGGCAGATTATCATGCCAAACAAAAACTCAAAATTTTGAAGTTCATGTGTTGCTAATGACTCGGCTTCACTCTTCACTTTAGAATCTTCATTACTTTCTGCTAAATCAAGTAATGCATCTCTTATCTGTGCAGTTTGCTCCATTATAGGCTTCACACTTTCAACATGACTTTCCCAACGTGATTGTGACAATGGCTTGACTGTCAACCCTTGAACATTATCTTTGAAAATTTTCTATCGCTTGGTAGAAGAGGAAAACAATGTGTAGATGCGTTGCATCACTCCGAAGAAGGATACAGCTTTGGAACAACAGTTCACCATATCACATAATGCTAGATTTAGACTATGAGCGTCACATGGAGTATAGAAAGCTCGGGGATTCATTTCATGGACTCTTCTTTGCACACCTTTGTGCTTCCCGCTCATGTTAGATCCATTGTCATACCCTTGCCCTCTAATATCATCAATATCAAGATCAATTTTTATCAAAGCCTTTTGAAGCTCGGTTGCAAGTCCAAGTCCTGTTGTGTCATCTACCTTCAAAAATTCGAGCCAATGTTCTTGAACTGTAGGTAAGTTTGACGAATTATCTACAAATCGTACAATTAAAGACATTTGCTCCTCCTGACTTGCATCTGGAGTACAATCAAGTATAACTGCGAAATATTTTGCATCTTTAACTTTCTTGACAATTGAACTTCTCACCTGATTAGCCAACAACTGTATCAACTCATTTTGAATTTTTTGCCAAGATACGTATATTGAATCTCTTTTGCTTTAGCCCGCCGAAGGTGCTCTTGCATTACTGGATCAAATTCACTAACCATTTCGACCATTTGTAAAAATAGGCCATTGTTCTCAACATGTAGCCTCTCATCATCTCCTCGAAATGGCAATGTGTTTTTCGCAAGTCTTTTAACAATAGCGATTATCCTTGTTAATACATGTCTCCAATGTTCTCTTTCAGCATCAATCAACAATTCAACGCTTTTATCAATTGTAGTTTTTGATCGAAATCTATTTTCCAATTCAATCCAACTAGTCATGCAACGTAAATGCTCCTCATTTCCTTCATGACTTTTAATAGACCGATGCAAATTATGCCAATCTTTGAACCCATCATTACCTAGTTGGCCAACTTTTGTCACATTTATTGGTGTTTTAAACAACTTACAACAAAAGTAGAAGATCATGTCCATAGACACTGAATATACTAGCCATCTTCTATCAACTGCTTTCCCATTTGGTAGCAATCGCTTATATTGTGAAGAATCTAAATGTCTATTTGTATAGTCTTTTGGAAACGTGATGTCATCAACTCTTTTTGGACTCCTTTCAACTAAATAATCCCTTGTTCTTTGATCAATAATTTTCCAATTCTCGGGATCATCCAAATTTAGAGAAAAGCAACCCTCTTCTTCCTTATCATCTTCTTCATCATTAGAGGCGGGCTTCATCACTTCTTCTTCCTTATCATCTACTTCGTTAACATCGGTAGGTTGACTCACTTCTTCATCCTTATCCTCATTCAACGCATTCACATTGTCACTTTTGAAGTACTTGCTAATATCCCCTACTTAACTTTGAATTAATGCAATTTCATTTCGTTTTCTTTTCCTCTTTTGAGCACCAGACTCGTATTTAGGAGGCATAGTAATGTCCAATGATTAGCCTAAAAAACAATTACAAAATAACTCAATTATCTCACATTTATAGTTTCCAATATAGTTATTACGTGCACCTGTGCAATTGTTCATCCTACAATAAGCAATCATATAAGCCGACCAGGCTGCAATTATATAAGTCGACAAGGTTTCAAACATTTACAATTTCTTCAATAACAACTTAGGGTAAGCCATTGCTTACCTGATAAGTGAAATTTTGACGGAAATTGTGGAATTACACCCTTAAGAATGATCCCGTTTTCTGAACCGGTGGAAAGCTTATCTCAATTTTTCAATTGTGTCAACGATGCTCTAGCATAACAAAAAGAAACGTGTAAGGAAATAACTATATCAATTAATGTTGTCATCAAGCTCATATTTGATTTCAAATAAATGCTAACAATTACCTACAACAATTAATTTACAGATTTCTGTATCGCTAAAAATTTTGACCAAAAAGTAGAAAATGCATGCATGCCGTAAATGTCCATTTAATTTTTAAAAAATATATATATTTATTTGATCACCAAACACAAATAATTAAAGAACAAAATCATATATCAACACATATATAATCATCTTTTCCATAAATTCAACGAAAGAAAGTCTTGTGTCTGGTCGAATACAATATGCCAAAATATAGACTACTATTCCAAAATAACTAGTTAAACTATTACAAAATAATTGATCCATATATCAAGAAATTTACTTCTCTAATCAACATTTTAGCTATCGAAAAAATA